GTCACCAGCAAGGGCCTCCCCAAGTTCATAACTGGACAAAGGCTTGAAGGAGGTGAGCAAGTTAGCCACATGGGCGTCTGGGAGAAGAACATTTGGGGGAAAGAAACAAAACAAGAACAAATTTCCCTGAAGCAAGAGTGTGTCTGGAAAATCAGATGAACTGCCAAGAGGCCAGTATGGCAAGGGATAGAGGGGGGATAGTGTGGGACATGAAGTCAGGGAGGTAAAGGGGTGGTGAGGTCATGAGTCCAGTCTGTGCATCCCTTTGAAAGCCATTGGAAAGACTTGGGCTTTCACCATGAACAGAGTAAGAAGTTATTAGAATGCTTTTAGCAGAAGTGTTGCATAATCTGATGATTAATATCTCCATCTTACAGATGAGGAAACTGAGATTCAGAAGGTTCCGCAGGTTGCCTAAAATCATGCAACCAGGAATTGGCAGGACTGTGAGGAGAACCATATACTCTTTGACAGGAAAAGGCATAAATTCATAGGAAGGCAGTTGGCCCTTTGTGTGGAGGTCTTGGGGTGGGGGGATTGGGATAAAGGAAAAAACATGCTATTTGCACTGGAAAAATGGATGGAGTGGTTGAGAAGGAGGGATTCACAAGGGAATATGATCCAGTGGATTCTCTTTGCAGTAATATATTAGGGAAATACAGAACTTCCCTGTATCCCTTTGCATCCTGAAATGCAAAGATGAGGCAGTTTCTCCTGAAAATTTCAGGGGGTGGTCCTTAAGACCAAATGCAATTAAACAGCTCTACAAAGTGGTACATAAACCCAAGGGACTAGTGACCTTGTGTATGTTGTAAGAGAATAAATGTGTCACAGAAGGGCTGGCAGAAGTTCAAAGAAACTAACCCCAGTGGGTCATTCCAGGAGAAAGAGGGATATATGTGCACCAGTGTTCCCTGGCCTCTGTAGAATCAAGAGGGTCCTACTGCTGTCTTGCCTTGTGTTTCTGGCCCAGACACAGCCCAGACTCTGATCTAGGTGGGGTTGGGGTTTTCATATTTCAGTGACCCACATGTGCACACGGTGGGAGACCTGTGTGACCCTCCCCCACATATGTGAAAACAGTCTTTGCTCCATAAATGATATCCTTTGATGACTTTTACTGGGTCCTCTTGTGATAGTTTTGGTGGGGTTGGGGACAGGAAAGGAGGCAAGGATGAGGCCAGGTGAGGGTGCTCCCTAGCAAGCCTGTGCAGTGGCCACGTGTTGTAATGGAATGTGCCCTGGATGGAATTCAGAAATTCCTGTCTAATGTCTGCTCCTACCAGGCTGTGTGGTCTTGAGCAAATTTCTTCCCTCCTCCATGGGCCTCAGTCCCAATATAGAGGGGCCAAGCTCTGTGCCTGTGAAGGCCCTCGCCAGCCCTCCATTCCATGGTTCTATGACATAATCTCCTGACAATCTAGGAGGAATCCCATATTGTCACTGGAAAAATGGTTCAGGGGATCTCTGGCAAAAGTCTCAGAGCTGAGCCTGGAGCAGAGACACACACAGACATGGGATCTAAAGGAGGGAACATCTGTAGTGTCTTCTCAGACACAGAAGTGAGATTTCTCACTGGATACCAGTATGGCTGTGCCCTCCATCTCCCAGGTGTCTGGCTTCTCACTTCCTCCTACTTCTCTTCCACAAAAAAGGAGGGACCCAGATTTTGACCTTGAGTGTCTACAGTTTCTGATCAAGGACAGCTCCCAGGATGTGAGGAGACCTGGGCCCTGCCTTCAGGGAGCAACACGTCAAATTGGGTATTTCCTGCTCTGGGTCTCCTGGTCAGAGTTGGGGTACCACTGACTGGAAATCTTGGTTTGGTTCATGCACTCAGGGGCACAACTTCAAACATGTAACTCATGTCAGGATTCATTGATGCTGGTGCTATTAGGGACCTTAAGATAATCTAGTATATGGTTTCTGTCTGTCCAGATGGTAAGTCCTGAAATGAGCTAACCAGAGGATTGCAGAGAGCTTTTAAAGACCAGAAGATCTTCCTAAGAAGAACAACCCATTAGGCCAGATGACTCAGATATTGGTTTGTGTTGAGGCAGGGGCCAGACCCCATGACATGTTTTAGTCCCCTCCATCTCAGAGATGACATGATTCTGAATCTGTGATTCTGTATTCTGTGAATCCATGATTCTCTCTATCTATTATCCTGTGAGTCTACCAGACTATTATTGCATGAATCCATAGGTCTCTGTTTCTATGAGCTGTGTCCAAAGAGATAAGTGGGGCCTTTTGGGGATAACCCTGTGACTCACCCTGGCACTTGTACCAGTCATCTGACATCTCCACACCTCACCTTCCCAGCCTATAAAATGGGTGGGACACAGCCCACCCACCTGTTTTGGTGGCACATGGAAACAGTATCTCTCACCAGAGATATTAGTGCTGCCTGAAGATGTTAAACCCATTAGTGATAGCATGGCCCCACAAAGTATGAAGTGAGCCAATCAGAGCTCACGGATGGCACAAGGTGCACAGATTGGCTAATAGTAGGATGGCCATTGGCCACATGGAGGAAGGAGGTTGGTTTAGGCTGTACTGTCTGTGGAAGCACCCCCATTCATTCAAACGTTCATTTATTGGTCTAGTTAGTGTTCCCCAGGTCCTGTGCTAGAGCCAGATGATATATAGTGAATGTGTCCACAGTTACCAATGCACAGAGATTATGGTTTAGTGGGAATAACTCCATGGACACTGAGGATATAAGTACACTTCCTCTGTAGAATAAGCCCCTACAATCATAGAATATCATAGCCAGGAGGGGCTTCATTGACTATTTTATGGTGGAAAAGAAAGAGCCTAGAGATAGAAGGGCACAGTGGGGCCACACTATGAGGCAATGGCAGAATCAGAACTAGGCTGAGTTCTATTTGTGCCTTGAACTATCTCTATCTTGTTTTGTTGACATGCCTTAAGATAGTTGGCCTTCTACGACATTTTCTTCCCTATAGCGTGAGGTTGTCCCATCCTACATCTGAGATATAGGGACTTCTTAATGACTGTGTCTGTTGGTTGGCTAAAAGCTATGGTTCCTAAAGCATCATGTATTTCAACACTAAAAAAAGCATGTTGTGGCAGAAAAAAAAATTGAAGAATAAACCTGGGTTCAAATTCTGGATCAACTACTTTTATCTATGTGAGCTTGGGCAAGTTTGTTTTTTTTATATATTTAAGACACTATTATGGAGACTAAATGTGATGAGCTAAACCTGTGATATATATGGCCCCAATAAAAGATCATTCTCGTCCCATTCCCATCATAAAACATCAGGCCTGGGTGCCAGCTGAGGTGGGACACAAGAGAACAGGTAATGGAACAGCCTAAAACCACTTCCACCATCCCCTTTAGGACAGGACTGGTGGGTTTCACAGATGAAGCTATGGAGTGCTACAAGCCCACCCAATACAGGAATGATGGGGCAAAGCAGGAAACTTTCTAAGTCTGGGAGAGAATCTCCCCTTTGCTTCCTCCAAATTGTTCAGGGGCAGACCCTGCAAGACCTGGCTTGGGCTAGGGAAGTGTCTGTGGACTAGTGGGGGTTTGTCTTCTTTATTGAGGAAATTTGGGAGCTGTTTATGGTCCTGGAGAAATTGGGATCCATTATGGACAAATGCAGAAGCATCTTTTCCTTAGAGGCTATGGGGCCACCCTGGGGCCTGTACGAGCTGATCTGAGGGAGTGGTAGTTTGCAACCAGGGCTTGGCTCAGGATCAAGATACCTTTTTGCGTTGGGCAACCTGACATGGATTAGTGAGAAGAGTGTGGGCTTTGAAACTAGACAGGCTTGGGTTCAAGTGATACTCCATTGCCTACCAATGGGACTACCTTGGTGAAATAGTTGGGCTTCTGGGTCTTAGTTTCCTTGTCAAAATAGGGCTAGCATAGCCTACCTCACAGGATGTGCTTAATACATATTATTCCCATTTCTCTTGCTGTATTTACTGCATTGAAGAAAGGGAAGGAGGCAGATATTCAAGGACAGTGCTATGTCCAGAAATAAAAGGCAACATGTTGTAGCAATAAAGACCATGGCTTATGAAAGTAGACTGCCTGCATGTGAATTCGAGCTTCTTGCTTAATTGCTTTGTGAGAATGGGTAACTTCCTTAATCTTTAAGGGCCTCAGTTACAGGGGCATCTGTAAATGTACATCCCTTATGAACTGTTTGGCACAGATGTAGCATTCAGTTAAATGTCAGATTCTACTATTATTGTTATCACACAGTGTTCATTTGGCTGGAATTCCCACTATGCTGGGTTCTTGGGGATCTAGGCCTGGTAGTAAGGTCCAGAAAGGTGAGGATGGGGAAGTTATGTGGCATGCAAAGCTGAAGATGTGGGTCCTAGGGCATGAAAAGCTGAGGAGAGACAGCCTAGATAAAGAGCCCCCACCCAGTTTCCCAAATTAACAGAATAACCTGCCACTCCATGGAACTAACCTGGAGTTCTTGGGGGGCCTTGCTGCTATACGGAGGCAGAGACCACTGGGCCCAGCAACCCAGACAGGCAGAAGCCATCATGGCGCCCCTCAGAAAGAATACACTATTTAGGCTGAGAAAATACACCATCTAGCTTTTGGCCCAGTGTATGAAAAATAGAGATGCCAACTATATTTTGAACAAGTCCTTGAAGACTCAAGTGACCTAGAAACAGCTTCGTAGGTACAGATCTCATAGGCATCTCATCTCTCATAACTTCTAGAAAAAGAAGACTGACTTGTTTCATGAAGAAGGCCAAAGGAATCATTTATCTTGTGTTCGGGAAAATTCAATGTCAAGCAGAGACATGCCCGGCCCCTGAGTGAAGAGCCAGGCATTCTGGGGAGGAATGCAGTGCCAGCTCTGGTCCTCGTGACCTCTCCTGTTTCATTCAGATGCCATTAAATTGCCTCATCACCACACTATAAAAGGCCTCCCCAATGGCCAGCTCCTCAGATCCTTGGCTTCTCCCCATCTTGCTCCTGTCAGCGAAGAGGGTAAGTCTATGCCTGGGTTAGGGACACAACAAGGAAGGAGCGGTGACACTGGGATGGGATGAGGACAGTCAGGACTAGGCATGAGGGTGGCTGCTGAAGGAGCTGGGGCAGAGCTGGGAAGCGCGGAGGCTGGGGCCTGAGGGGGAGAGGCAGAGGTAAGGAACTGGAGCAGAGCTGTTGGTCCTGTGTGAGAAGGGGTCTTCAGAGAACCGCCACCCTCTCTCTCCTCGAGTGCAGTTGTGCAGTCCTCTCATGGGTCCATTTATGGGGTGAAGTGATAGTCCAGCTTGCCTGAAGAGCAAATGGTGGAAACTCAGACTCCAGCCTTGTCAGGCTCTATGGGGCTCAGCTTGAGACTCAGAGTGGCTCCTGGTCTACCGACAAGAACTTTCTTTCCCTGGGTACTGCCTGGCCTGGCAGGAGGGAATAGGGAAGCCAGTCTTGAGAGAATTTGGCGACGAGGAGAAATCAGCTGGGAAGAAATTTCCCAAGGAGAATCTGCAATACAGGCACCAAAGTGAGTAATAAGAAAGGAGGCTTGGAGAATTGGGTGGAAACAGACATCACTCATTCCAGCGCTTCATTTTCCACTGTGGAAACTGAGGCACACAGCCAGGCATAGCACAAGATCCAAGCAAGATCCCTGGCTCTGAGTCCAGCCTATGTCAGGTCTGAGTGCCTGTGACCTTCTCAAAAAATTTCCTGCTTACAGACAATTCTATTCATACGAGATGCTGGGGGTTTCCCTGGAAACCTTCTTAGCTCTGATGAGACCTTTCTTTTCAGATTTTGCAAAGCCACAGGAAGATGTGTGACCAGCAGAAGCAGCCACAGTTCCCCTCATCTTGTGTGAAAGGTTCAGGATTGGGAGCTGTACAGAGTACCAAATGTACCTCTGTGAAATGCCCAGCTCCATCCCAGACTCAAGCCTGTGTGAAATGCCAAGTGCCATGCCAGACTCAAACCTATGTGAAATATGCAACTCCTGGCCAGATGTATGTGAAACGCCCAGCTCCATCCCAGACAACCTATGTGAAATGCCCAGCTCCTTGTCAGACATACATGAAGTGCCCAGCTCCATGCCAGACAACCTATGTGAAGTGCCCAGCCCCCTGCCAGACCCAGGCATGCTATGGCCAGGGCCCTTCTTCCGGCCAGACCTACTACGTTCAGGCTCCTGCGAGTAGCTTGACCACCTTATGCTGTGTACCTGATCCATGCTCTGCACCCTGTTCCACCAGCTACTGCTGCCTGGCTCCCCGGACCTTCGGGGTGAGTCCCCTGAGATGCTGGGTCCAGCGACCCCAGGACTGCAGCTCAGGATCATCTGGCTGCTGTGAAGGTTCTGGGTGCTGCAGCTGTGGGGGCTGTGGTTCTGGGTGCTGCTGTTTGGGGATTATCCCCATGAGGTCCCGAGGTCCTGCGTGCTGTGATCGTGAGGATGACTGCTGCTGCTAAATACAAAACAGCCCTGCTCTGGAACATTCAGCAGCCTCCGGCCCCCTCTCTGTATTCCCAGTTATGTAGAATCTTATTGCTTCACCATGTACTTTGCTTCTCTATGAAGGCAGCCTGCCAGAGTTAGCATGTGCCCCAAACTTTGGCAAGAATAAAGCTCTGAAAGCAATTCATAGAGATGTCCTGTCTATTTGGTCCATATTTATGCTTTTCTTTTCTTTTTTTTAAAGATTTTATTTACTTGAGAGAGAGAGAATGAGAGAGAGAGAACACATGAGAGGGGATAGGGTCAGAGGACGAAGCAGACTCCCCACCGAGCAGGGAGCCCGATGCGGGACTCGATCCAGGGACTCCAGGATCATGACCTGAGCCGAAGGCAGTCACTTAACCAACTGAGCCACCCAGGCACCCTATTTATGCTTTTCTATCAGAAACTCTTCCTCTCTTCTTCTTGCTTCTCAACAAGAGGAAGGTCTACATGGACCAAGCTGGTACGATCCCAGCCTGGGATCCCCGAGCATTCTAGAATGCCACTAATAAACTTCCCCATGCAAGTTAGCTGGAGATTTTAGGGTCAGGAGATGCCTTTTTCCTGCCCTCTGATGAGTGTGAGGAGAGGGTTTGGCTATGCTGAGGCCTTCATGGTAGCATGACTGTTGTATGTGAAGTCAGAGTTCAGCTTCCTGGTTGTTGAAGGGTCTGTGAAATCAGATCTGTTCAGGTGCCTCATGATGATGCCCCTGCTTCTGTGGGAGGGCCTCTATGGATTCCATTTTCTCATCTGATGAGTTTGTCCCTATGAAACCCCAGATTAAAGACCTGAGGGAAAGGGTGAGGACTCACCTGAGGCAAGTGGAAATTCCCCTTGTTAGCCTGGGAGACAGCCCTGCTAGTGAGGGAGAGGTTGCCAAGAGGAAGGTGAGCCTCTTGGCACAAGCGTCTGGGTCTGGGCCAGACTCCCTTTCTCATTAGCACTTCCTCTTCCATTACTTTGCTAACCCCGGGGGTTTGGGGTGGATTTTTATAGCTAGAGACTGTAAACCCACACAGTAAAAAAGAAATAGGTAAGGGGTAAGTGCTGTTCAAAGCAGCCCCACAAGCCCTGGTGTATGAACAGAGGAGGCAGCATATTTGGTGAATATGTAAATGAACATTCCAACAAGAACTGGGGACCTTGAGTTTGTTTCTAAGCAACCTCTTTCAGGTTACCCTGGGACACTTGTGGGAGTGTCATCTGGACTACTGTGCTGCCTTTGAACATCTAAGTCACCCATGATCCCCCAAATCACACTCTGTCCCTGCAGCCAAACCCATTGCAGCCAGATCACTGGGCACCATGATCTCCTGTACCACCCAGTGGCTCCGGCAATGTTGGAAGTCTATGTGCTGCTCCTTCAGCAATGAACCAGGGCATGCAATGCCTTTATATTTATTAATTAAAAATTACATAAGTAGCACGAACTTTGTAAACATTCGAATAGTACAGTTGATGTTTGAACAATGCAGGGGTTCGGGGCACCAATCCCCCCGGCAGTCTAAAATCCACACTTTTGACTCCCCAGAAAGGTAACTATTTAATAGCCTACTGTTGACCAGAAGCCTTACAGATAACATAAATAATCAATTAACACATATTTTGTATGTTATGTGTATTCTATCTATACTGTATTCTTGTAATGAAGTGAGCTAGAGAAAAAGTATTAAGAAAATCATAAGACAGAGAAAATACATTTATAATACTGTATTTATTGAAAAAAAAACACATGTAACTGGACTTGTACAGTTCAAATCCAGGTTGTTCAAGGGTGAACTGCATGACATTTACAGATAAAAATTTAGTTACTTTTTGATTTCCAATACCACAACCTTTTCCAGGGATGACCATACTGAGTTTGGATTAGATCTTTGCCTAGCACCCAGTGACCCAATGTATGTGGAGAATGGATGGCATCCTAAAAGCCCAGCCCAGCACTGATGTGTCAGAAAGTATTGTAGGGAATCCATTTCATAACTCATAACATTCTTCTAAAATTCCCATTTTCTCTCCTCTTCAATTCTCCCATATCTTGAGCACAGACGCTCAAGTTTCCCTCACTAAAAGCCCCCAAGTCCTCTCTAACATCCAGACAGTGTGGCTTCTTTGTCTCTTTCTCCCTTGCCACCCCCACCTCCCACCTGACTCAAGTCTGGTCCTGGTTGTGAAGCCTGAGCCTCCCTCGCTGCTTTGCTAGTTTTCTCTATCCTTTACCCAATCCTGGGATTCTCCTTTCCAGAGGAACTCACCTAGGAACAAAAGCTTCTCCTTTTTCCCCAGCTGTTTCAGCTCTAGCCCATTTTGTTGGTTTTGTACAGGGAAGAGGGAAGAGGCTATAAAGCTTAAAAGGCAAACACATAATTCTCTTGGTAAGGAGTGTAAGTAGAGGAAATGGAGAAGAAAGCAAACACATGCATTAGTAAATCTCAACCCATTACATATCGTGAAGATTCCCCCCTCCCTTTTTATTGTGTAGAACCACAGTATGTATTGCTCTATGATGACCTGTTTTCGTTTAATAGTGAATAGTCAACATCAGTTTTGGTTAGTGCATATAATTGTATCTTTTTCAATTTTGCTTTCTGACATTTTTGTTGTTTGCTTTCTGACATTTCTGTTGTGTGGCTAGTCAGTGATATATTTAACCACCCCCTTATTGCCTTTTATGACATATATTTTGATTTCTCTCTCTTTCTTTTTCTCTCCTTCTGTCTTTCTTTCTCTTGGTTTCTGCCTCAATCTCTCTGTCTGTCTCTCATTATTTATGATTTGCTGTTAAGGTCTTTGTAAATATTTTAAACGTTCCATATTGAAATATAACACACAGAAAAGTACACACAAGTTCATCATTCAATGAACACATCTGTATAACTACCATCTGGACCCCAGAAAGTTAATGTCATGTTGAAAGCAAATAAATAAAAATCCCTGATTCCCACAGAGCAGGGGACTAAGTTTGGAGGCATGAGGTGGAGAAGAACAGAAATATCCTTCTATAACTCCAGAAGCGTTGGAAGAGCGCTGCTTATGTGCCAGGGGTGTTTATGTAGGAAAGACTGTGTGAGGAGAAACAGCCAATGGAATCTAGGCTTTCAAGGAGCACCTCCCAAAGAACCCTGATATATGATGCTGGACTCCCCTTCCCTTACACAGACCTCAGGAAACTGAGAAGCCAGACACCAGGACCTGAGAAGCCTGCGTGAGCTTGGCCAGTCTGGAAGGTCTAGAAGTAACTTTTGTGTTTGATTTTCATTCATTCATCCAATAAATAGTAACTGAACATCTATTTTGTTCCAGACACCATCTCTATCATGTTGGAGTTTACAGCAGAAAGGGAGAATAAATGATAAAAACCCAATAAATAAATGTAAAGGTGCACAGCTATGAAGGGTACTAGATGCTCTGACATCCTGCAATATACCCATTTTACCTGGTCAGGGAGATCAGAAAGGAGTTCTCTGAGAAAGTGCAGATGGATCTCAAGGTTGAGTAGGAGTTAATTATAGAGCAGCAAGGGAAGGCTTCTCCAGGCTGAGGCAAGAGCACAGCCAGGAACTCTGTGGGAGAGGGGGCCTGGAAGGAGTAAGGAGCTGAAGGGAGAGAGTGCACAGTAAGACAGAAGGGCAAGAGTACCTGATGCGTACTGCTACAGGTGGGAAAGGATGGTGTTGCTGGAGATATTCATTCAGCCAAAGGGAGCTGTTGCAAGGTTTCAAGGGGGCAGGTGGCAGTTACTATATTATTTGTGCCTCTTAAAGTTTATTTTTCTCTGCAAAATAAATTCATATTTTTAGTGCATATAAAGGATAATCTAAAACAACTGCCCAGTAACATTAATTTACCTGGTTCTTTCCTACCCTGTCCTGTGTAGTTGCCCAGTTCTGGGTCTAGTTTATATAGCTATCATATGACAGCTCAGGCCATTCTGTGAGTAAGGGTGCCTTCAAGCGCCAGCATCCGGTGGTCTTTGCTCACAGCTGGTGCTCTCATCTCTAAAACTGATGGGTTAGAAAAGCACAGAATATTCAGTTTCAGGACATTTTAAGGCTAATCAAAAGTTCTACCATGTTTTGTTTTTTGTAGTTAAAAAAATCTCGATGTATCATTTTTCATGTAAAATAATCCAGATTTCCTGACTTCTGATCCCTCTACACTACTTACAGAGGACTTATTGGGAATGAGTTAAAGGGAATGGTGAGTCCAGAACATGAAGCAAACCCCTGGGAGATTGGGGACAGTGTTCTTGGACGTGCTAAGGTGCTGTTTTCCTGGGCTCTTCCGTGAGTCTGCTTTCCCACAGTTTTTCTGGAATAGAAAAATCTACTGAGTTGAATCCTAATCCCACTTCCCTGTGTAGAATAGTTTTTAATAATGTTTTCTCTCAGGAAAATGTCTATGCCAAAATTATTCATAAGTAAGGCTAATACACACAAATAGACCTCATAATATTTCCAAATTTAAGAAATAAACATATAGTCAAATATTAAGTTTTTTTATTTTAAAATGCATTATACATATATTGTCTATGAATGTATAATATGATTAAATACCCATAAGAAAAAGGACTCAGATCTATTCTTAACATCGACAGGGAAGGACAGAGGGAATTGTCCTTTATTTATTGAGAGCTTACTATGTGCTGGGCACTGTGCTAGTTGCTTTACATGTGATGTCTCTCTTATCTGAGCGATGAGATGACTGATCTGAACTGCCTGGCAGGTGTGGGAGGAGCAACAGCTAAGTTTATGCTAAAACTGGGACTCTCAAGTCAGACAGGCCCATTTATTGGTGTTATGACGTCAGACAGGTTGTATGATCTCTTTACCCAGAGGGATGGTATCTCATAAAACTGCCTGAAATAGTGCCCAGCACATATTAGGCCCACAATCCATGAAGCCATTGTCCTGTCCCTGGTTGGAGGGGTTATGTCTGTAAACCTGAAAGCCACTTAGAGTAAGAGAGTGACAATCATATCAGATAAAGACTATTAAGGGATTCTCATGGTTTGAAATTTTATAGCTCTAAAGTAAAATGCAATGAGAGAAGGTTTTATTTATGGATCTGATTATGAAATGTGTACTGATGTTTCGAGTGACTATAGTCTACCAGCTTCTTCCACCTCTGTTCTCATGCCAGCTCTGCCATAGCACTTTCTCTA